GGCGGGGGGGGGGGTGTGGACGGATTGAAGGGCGCGCGTGCGCGGGGGGAACGGTGCAGCACTGTCAGTCGCGGACGGCGGACGGCGGACGGCGGGCGGGCGGGCGGACGGACGGGCGGACGGAGGTTCTTTCTCCTGTGGTTGCTGTGGCCTGTCTGCCGACACTGAACGTGGACGGGTGACGAGGCCGACGAGGCATGGATGGATGGATGTACGGCATGTTGGGGTTGGGGTTGCGGGCATGGGTTTGGGTTTCTGGTGTTTCCCCCCAAAGGGGAATTTTTATTAAGGTTTTCTTGGGGGGTGGGGGGGAGACGGAGACGGAGACGTCTCGGTGTGGAGAGACGTGACCGCTTGGCCTGGCTTGGCCTGGCTTGGCTCCAGATGAGATGGGGGAGGAGCACTGCGCCGCGAGAGCACCGGGTTTTTTCGTGCTCCTCGCTGCTTTGTTTACTGCTCGGCTGTCTTTTTTGTTTGATTTTATTCCTGGCCGGCATGACGCACGAGTCCTGTGGGCGCGCGAGGAGGGTCTGTCTATGAGGCGACGAGGCTCGACGCGGGGGGCGCTACGGGAAAGTATAGCTCGCAGGCGCCGTGGGTGCGGTTTTGGTTTGGTTTTTTTTTCAAAAAGGCAATTCGGCTTTGCGGCCTGCCCTTTGCTGTCGCGGCTGACGGGCTGATGGGTGTCACTGGTATGGTCTCGTGCGTGTGTACGTTGGCGGCCTGGGGAGGGCAAGGGGAGGAGACGAGAGGTGGCGAGCGAGATGCCGGTGATGATGATGATGATGATGATGATGATGATGACGATGACGATGGTGACGATGGTGGATGATGCAAGCGTCGGCGGCGGCTGTTCCCCTGGTGCTTCTCGAGCATGCATGGACATGGACGTGCGTGCGTTGTTGATTGTATTTCCTGTGCCACGGGCGCGTGTGCGACGTGCGAGCCTCGCATTGCATGGTGTCGATGCGATGCGGGATGGGCTGGGCATGTCTTGGACGCCCACGGAGCAGGAGACGAGGACGAGGACGAGGACGGACAGGACGGGCAGGACGGGCAAGAGAGCGAGCAGGAGGAACACTCCGGCGCCCTGTCGTATCGAGACGCCGAGAGAGTGTGTTGCTCGTCGTCGATTCTCCCGGCGCAGGGCAGGAAACCAGAGATGAGGCAGACAAGGAACGAGGACACGTTGGGGCGGACAATTCATTCCGAGAAGCAGCAGCGAAAGCAGCAAAAGCAGCCGAGCCGCGGCCCATATGGCTTCGGACCTCAGACGCGCAACGTGCCTCGGTGAGCAAGGATGCCCGTCTCGCCAGTCAGCGTCCTGGCTTTGTTCTGTCGGTGCCGGTACCGTCAGTCCACCACGAGGAGCAGCTCGTCACCATTCTTCTCTTCCGGTGGCAGGCAGGGAGACGAGACGAGGGCTCGTCGGGCGAGGGGGCGTCTGCCCAGGATCCCGCCGCGTCGAAATCAAACACAGCCCGGCGTCGACCACGGCCCATCTGTCTGCGCCGTGTGAAGCATGTACATCGCCTCCCTCATCCACGGCAAGCCTGTCTGCGGTTTGCCTGTCTGCGGTTTGCGGCGACGGAGGGGGCAATTCCAGTCTGCTTGGCAAGCCCCTGCGTGGAGTTTGGGCCGTCGTCTCGATGCCTCCTTTTGCGGCTCCTCGTCGTCGATGCCTCCCTTTGGTCGTCCTCGTCCTCGTCCTCGTCCTCGTCCTCGTCCTCCTCGCCGCCGCCGACACTTCGCTCATCACCGTCGCCCACGTCCCCCCCTTCCCCCCGTGTCCCCGTGTCCCGTGCTCCCTCGGCCATGTCCCCACGACGCCGTCCGCCCGTCGAGGCTCGACGCTCGAGTCACGCCAAAGTCCAAATAGGCTCGTTCCGCTCCCGACGCCGCGGCTACCTGCATCCTCTGCCCGGACGCAAAGCAGTCACCCAGGCACCGGGCCCTCCGTCGCTGCCAGCCCACGCACGCACGCACGGGAAAAGGGAAAAGGGGGCACGCAGCCAGACAGACGCCGGCTGCCTGTGCTCCGTACGCCCGGATTGTACGCACGCGCCGACCGCGGCCTCGGGAGTCCGTCTATCATATGTCCATATATCCATCCCATCATCTATCCCACCCACCTGTGCTTGTGCTGTGCTGTGCGTGTGCGGCCTTGTGCGCCTCCAAGGGCCCCCGTCTACCATCCCATCCGTCTTGCATACCTTGCCCTACCTCGTACCCTCTCACACGTGTGTGACCATGGACCATGGACCATGGACCACGGCACAGGAGCGGCCGCCGTCGTCTCTCTGCCCTCGTCGTGACTCGTGTGTCTGCCCGTCTGGCCGTGCTTTGCGCGCAATTGGTCGCTGTTGCAACCCCCCCCCCCCCCCCCAAAGTACGGCATGTGGGAGAAGGCCGTCTTGGGGGGGGGGTTCAACTTCTGTCCCTCATCCCTTATTATTAGATGCAGACGTGGAATCAAGTCGCAAGAGCCCGGGGGCGGACGGGCCCGCGTCGGATGCCCGCATGGTGATTACGGCGGGCAGCGTTTTTGGGTGCCGCGTGTGGATATGCAGCTATGTATGTATGTATGTATGTATGTATGTACTATGTTGTCTCGGTGTTTTCTGGGGGCCGTGGAGCGTTGAGATTTCCTTGACATATACGGAGTACATGTATATATATATATATACGTGTGCGTGTTTTTGCTTTTTTGCTTCTTTGTGGACGGACGGACGTCGGGCAAGCGGAGGCGTCGACGACGGCATTCGCACTCGGGAGCGTCGCCCGAGCAGAGACGGGCTCGTCGTCGCGTCTGCCTAGTGGTCTCCTCTCCTCGTCTGGAGACCGGGGATGGGGGTGACGATGCGAGCGACCAAGACACTCGCGGGCCAGGGCGTCCCTGCCCTTCTGCCACGGACATGACACATGACATGACAACATACACATGCTCCGTAAGTACGGAGGACATACATACCAGGCACCGAGTACGGAGTACAGAGTACAGAGCACGTCCTCGCTGATGATTCGTACATAGATGCTATGCTCGTCCAGGGCGCGTCGGCGACGGGGGCGTGGTCGTATCGCGGACTCGCAACTCGCCCATCCCGTCACACGGCAGCTCCTTGGGTGAGGTGAGGTGACATGCTGCTGCTGGCATGGTGATATCACGTCCGTACTCCGTATTTCGGACCACAGCTACGAGGTGCGGCCTGCTTGGCCGGCTGGGCCTTTTGGGGCGAAAAAGGGGGCGGCGTGTGGTTGAAACCTGATGCCATGGACGGGCATGGGCACCATCATGGATGGATTGGCTCTTGTTCTTGTTCCTGTTGCCTGCGCCGGGCCCTGGCGGGACGAGCCGGCTCCCACTGGTTCCTGGTTGAAACTGGAGGCGTCCTGGGGTGTTGAGCAGTCACTTTTCGTGGATTGTGACGGGACCGAAGTCGTCGTGGGCCGGGACTCGGGAGAAGCACCAAGCGACGGGCGTCGGCTCTTCGCTCTGCGTCGTGCATGCTGTGACGCCTCATCTGCGGCTCGGAGAGACGCCGTGCGCCGCGACGACGGAGCGTGCGACGCGTGCGCAGAGCACGTCAGGCGCCAGTCTCCAACGTCTGGCTGCGTCGACTCGACGAACAAGACGAGACGACTGCATCGCCGCCAGGACACCGCGCCGTCAGCCAGCCGACTCGTGGCGAGCTCGTCCTCGGCCACGACAACAGCCGCTGCCCTCGAGGGCCGCGACGCATCGGCCGTCCGTGTTCGTTGCCAGTTCCGAAGCCGCCTGCGTCCTCGAGGCAGACAGACACTCGGACTGCCCGTGAAGTGGCTGACCATGACTGCTTCCCGCCCAGGAGACGGACGAGACGCCCGGACTGCCCGTGAACTGACTGGCGATGGCTGCTCCTCGTCCAGGAACCGAACGACGATGGCGCGTCCGTCCTGGCCGTCGGCCGCGTGCATAAAGATGCCAGCATCGGCCCGCGGTCTGAGGAACCCGTCTCTCTCCTCGCCGCCATACCTCCCCACGGCCCGTGTCCATCTTTCTCTTCGCAAACGACTTTCGTCTCCGACGCTCGAGAACTCTGCCCCTCGGCGTGCTCGCTTCCCGCAGTCTCGAACCGCACGACTAGTCTACCACCTACGTGCCGGCCTACCTGCGCCCGAATATCATCAGGCTTGTACCACAGACAGATGTTCTACCGCAACGACAAAGATGCCGCAGGGTGTCGCCACCATAGGGACATGCTCCTTTTGCAAAGATGATTGGAAAATGGAGAGCTTGACGGGTAGGGCGCCTGACTATGTGTGCGATAGATGCTTTAAAGAAGCGCAGAGGCCCCTGATCCCCGAATCAAAGGAAGAAAGGGACGAAAGGAGGGGACGAGCGGCCGACTTTGAAGAAAAGCGCCAGAAGGCATTGGAAGAATTTAGGGGCGTGGACGCCGCAGTTGACGAAGCGGCAAAGGAGACCGCCATCTCGGACGACAAACTCGACGGCGTAAGAGACGACATGAAGAAGCTCCAAGACCTGATGGCCAGCGCCCGCCCCTGGAAAATACGTCGTCTATATGTGCCCCCGCCCCGGCCCCCGACCCCGTAGTACTATCACGGCTACGGACTACAGACGGCACCAGAGGCGTCGGGCTCATCGACGGCAACCGCCGTCTGTGCCTCGGGAAAGAAAACGGTTTCCTTTCGACGGTGGCGTACAGGGATTGCGGCGGCCGTTGTTTGTACGGGCACAGCTCGAGGCGAGGCCCGCGACGACGGGATCACGCACGTCACGCTCGCTCTCGAGGTGCGTTCTGAGGCGAAGGGGAGGACAGGGAGTCGCGTGTTATGACTTGTGAGGCTGGCTTACGGCGTTTGAAGGGCCTGGAGAGTGGACTGGATGGACGGGCGACCTCGCGAGGAAGACTGGGTCGGCCCTGCTGTCGATTTGCCTTGTTTGGTTCCATGGGCCAGTTTTGGGCATCGGGCACATAGAGCGTACCTATCTGAATCTAATGATGAATCGGGAAATTGGCTGGCAGAGCATGTTCCATCTCTAGCGACGCGCGCCTTGTGAGCCTCGTGCCACCCGCACACCGATGCCGCGACCGCAACCGCAACCGCAACTGCAACTGTAGCTGTAGCTGTGCAGATGTGTCTCTTGCATTTACAAGATTCGAGGCGAGAGTCAATGGCACCGAGTTTCAAGTGCATCGAGACAAGTGTAGGGACGAGCTGGAAAGACAAGACCTCGCGCCGCTCATCTCGCAATCTGGTTGCGGAGCGCAGGTGCTGTTGGCCTTTAAAACACAAAAAAAACAAAGCCTCGTCATGGACAATGCTGTGCAAAGGACGAGACGTGCGCTCGTTTCACCTTCAGCCCGACGACAGTGTCGGATGGTGTATGTGAGCGCGTTTCAGGCTTTTTCCATGCTCGGCTGGGAATTGGGGTCGTCGCGTATGGAATATATGACGGGAACCGCAGATCCTGCGACGTGAGTGATATTGCGCTTGCGGGATGCACGGCGACAGGAAGCACTTGCGGAGGACGGGTTCGGTTCGATTCGGTTCGTGCCGGTCATGGCGGCGGGTTTGGTATTTCAGATGGCTGCTTTTCCAAAGCCACGCGCTGCCTGATTCCTCTGAAGCAATGCCTCGTCACGTCACATCCCAGACGGGAGTCGGAATGCTGGTGGCTGAACCGCCGGCGGACGGACGTGACGAGTGACGTTGGCAGCTCGGCTCGTGACCAGAGATGCGATCGATAGTTACCTGCCCAAAGTACCGGTACTTGTCAAGGTGATTCCGAGTTCCCGATCCGGCAATGCACTTTGCGCGCGGCACTAACACGCAGCGGCGGGATTCTCCCGCAAAACGTGCTAGCGAGGGGCAGGACCCAAGGAGCTTGGACCCCATGTTGAAGTCGACTCGATATTTTGCGCGGCAGCGGAAACAACATGCTCACTTGTTGTTGGCCGACCCCTTGACGATTCCGCAAGGCTTCCGTCCTCCCTCCTCCCCCGTCGTGCTTCTTCCTCTTCTCCCCGCATATGTATTCCACAAAGACATCGTCAGAAGGCACAACGGTCCTCGGTCCCCGGTCCCCCGCGGTATAAGAAGCATCCCGCATCCCACCCTCGGTGCTCGTGCTCCCAACAAAGAGTCACGCCAAGATTGTCATACGAGCGAGCCAATTCGTCACCCCTCTTGTGCAAACGACGTTTCGATCCTGCAACATCGCGGCTGCTGCCAGGGAAAAAAAAGCAAAGAAGAAAAAAGACATGTCTCTCTTCTCCCGTCACCAAGGCGGCATGGACATGAGCTCCCCGTCCAGCTCCGGGTCCTCGCACGACATGGGCTCCGGGTCCTCCAACATGATGGCCATGGTTTTCCAGACCAACACGGCGACGCCTCTGTACGCCGACTCGTGGACGCCGCAGAGCGCGGGCGTCTACGCCGGGACGTGCATCTTCCTCGTCGTGCTCGCCATCATCGGCCGCCTCCTCCTCGCCGCGAGGAGCATCCAGGAAGCCCGCTGGCTCGACAAGGACATGAAGCGCCGCTACGTCGCCGCCCACGGCAAGGCCTCGCTGTCGGACCGCATATCGAGCGACTCGCTCGCCAAGCCCATGACGCTGACGGCCAACGGCGTCGAGGAGAGCGTCGTCGTCGTCGCCCGTGCCGGCTGCGAGACGAGGCCGTGGCGCTTCAGCGTCGATCCCCTGCGCGCCGTCATGGACACTCTTATCGTCGGCGTCGGCTACCTCCTGTACGTTGCGACTTGTTGCCCCAATCTGCCCCGTGCGAATCTCGGGCGCGCGCGCTAATGCTCTCCATCCTGTGCAGCATGCTGGCCGTCATGACCATGAACGTCGGCTACTTCATGTCCGTCCTGGCCGGCGTCTTTGTCGGCAGCCTCGCTGTCGGCCGCTACAGCGCCGCCGGAGAGCACTAGCTCGAGATGCGAGACCATTTGAGTGCATACAGCCTGGGGCTGTTGGGGGTTACAGTACTATTTGCATTCATACAACCTGGGGGGGAGACTTTGAGCCCGTTGCTTTCACGATACGATACAGGCACATTGGCGAGCTGCAGAGCTACAGAGGCGAAACGGCGCATAGACTGAGCGTGTTACGAGCGGGCAGGGATGCGAGCAACTTTTTTTTTTTTTTTTTTTTTTTCC